ATGTGATGGATAATAGCAATTTGTATAGTTTAGTGACATTTACACGAAAACCACGTCTTGTTTATATATATATATATAACTAACAACAGCGATTTTGATTATGAATTTGTTTTCTAAAATTCTAAGCTGTTGAACTACAAAAATATAGATTTTAGCAAAAATGTTTATTCGCTACTTTAATGTTTCAAACGCCAAAATGTTTTAAATAAAATAATTTTTTTTTGTCATCCACATATTATTATGACATGTACTTTTAAAAAATATTTAGAGGAGAGGCTTCATAATTGCTCATTTCAAACCTATCATTTTATTTTTATATAACTTAAAAATAATCACTTTGGGTTTCACGTTTTACTTATTTGGGTTAAGTAAAAAATAGAATTACCACCAAATGCTGCAATCCTTGTCAAAATTAATAAATATACACACGTATATGCCAGTAAGTTAACTTTTCCTTGATTTGGATAGTTATTATTTATTATATTATCAGAAAATTATTAAACTGTGTAAAATCATTAAAGGAGATATTTTAGTGCTCTGCCAAATATATATTTACTAGAAGATTTGAAGAATTTGATGGAAGATGAATGTATCCGAAAATCCTAAAACGTGTTTTAAGTCAAAAGTTTGAAACTTGATGGCTAAATGTAAGTACTATAAAATTATGCATGTTAGAATATTTGTAACAAGGCACATAGGTCAGGTTGAGTTTTTATTAAATAGAGTAAGGCATGCAAGGGCTATCTGCCTAAAGGGAGAGATGCCATCGTGGAGAAATTTTGAAGAAAAACTGATCTTTGAGTCGGTATTAAAAATAATGCATGTAATTTTCATTCAAATTATATTTATACATAGTTCTTATGCAAAAGTTTCAGGTATATGCTAAATTATTGTAAATTATACTCGAAAAATATAGTGAATGCACAGAAATTAAAGATTTGCACATGCCAGAAATGAAAAATATGAAATATGTATGGGTATTTATGCATATGCTTGCAAAAAGCATGTATCTATCTTTAATAAAATACATAAATATTTATTAAATTATATATAAATATATATGAAATTAAGGATTTATTCATTCATACGAAAACACCTGTGAAAGTTACTGTGAGGAAATCTAATTATTAAATGTATCTAATTTATAATGATTATAAATATTATCTAAATATATAATAACATCAACATTAAATTGTAAACATAAATTGAAATCCTGTTGACAAATATGTTATAAAACTATTTAAGCAAGAATTGTTCGTACTGGGAAGCAATCTGTTAAAAGGTATTATAAAGCAAATTCTATGAAATGCGTACTTAAGAAAGTAATGAAGAAGAGTTTTAGAATATGTATTGTTGAAATTAAGGGTAAAAAATCTGACAAGTATAATTAAAAGAATTATTCTCCTCACATTTTATAATAACTCAATTACAAGTTTTAAATAATATTAAAAAAATCCTTTTATTATTCCATTTCAGAAATATTCAGAGAAAGTTAAGTACTATTTAACGTTATTTCACTATTAAAATAAAAGATGCTCTAATTTGAAATGGACCAAATAGAGCATTAATTATAAATTGACTTAAATTTTTCGACTTAAAAGATGCAATCAGAAGCTAAAAAATCATGTCATATTTTAGAAAGAAGCTCTATAAATAGAAAAGAAATAATACATTATTTTAATATTAATACAAGCAAATACCGAAAATCCGCCAATTCCTGAAATCCGCATTGCCTCTCAAAATATAAACATTCAGTTTATTGGTTCTGGAAACTGCAACATTGAGTACGGAATATCGAAGAAAAAATACTTACCAAATAATGACAGCATAATTACTTAATGAGTCATAACGGAAATACCGAATTAATTACATTATAATAAAAGCTTTTTCCCCTCTAATCTGCGTCATGGTAAAAAAGCAGACGATTCACTCAACTCTTCTTTCAAGTTCACGATTCACGTTGTTGTATTTTCTGAGCTTTGTTATTTCACGAGATTATTTAGTGCTGCCTTTTTCTTTTATCCAGATATTTTGTGGATAAATTAAGAATATTTTAAATTTCAGCCCTTTTTAATACAATTACAGATAAGAAATGCACTCATGGTTTTACCGCTTGCAACATTGAAAAACGTAAGCACGTTGCATTGACGGTAATACAAAAAGTGCAAATTCTGTAAAAGATGGAGACAGATGCAACTCCTCAGAATCATATGGAATTGCGACATGATTGTGTATGATATACAGAAAATTAAAGAAAAGCTGTTGAAATTTTACAGCAATAGTGATTCTCACACCGGAATCCGAAACCAGAAATCTTTGCACGAGGCGAAATCGGCAAACCTCAATGCTGTGTATATATAATACAATGGATAATATAATCAATTTATATATGTAATAATAATTTAATGCATATAATAAGTTATTGTAATAATGTATATAATAATTTAATTAAATGTATCTAATAAGCCTTATTTATTTTGCACTTTTAGTATGAAAATTATGATTTATCTTTTCTGTCCTGAAATCCGCAAAATCCTAAAATCCGCACAACCTCTGGTCCTAAACTTTGTGGATTTCTGGACGTCTACTGTAATACAATAAACTTTGATCTTAATTTTTTTAATCCTTAACCGAATAAAATCGAATTACCTTAATTTTTTTTTCTAATGTAATTAAGGAAAACTTGTGAAAATATTTCATTCAAACTAAACTGTTCTGAGCAAACTGTATTGTGAAAAGTATAGCATTTAATTCTGTTCAGAATAAAATTTTGTTTAAAAATGTTCTCTTTTCATATACTTAGGACTCTGAAATATTGTAGAAAAAGAAAATATATACATTTATATCTATATTTACAACGTAATTACAAAATATTTATATCCAATTATGTCAAAACCTATTGATCTTATTGGTAAATGATCCAATGTTTTGTCACCACGAAGGGATAGCCAGTGCTTCAAAGCAGTGTATGGGGAAAACCGGTTAGGGCCACTCCATCTTCCTAGTATCATTTGCAGGTAGCCTCCATATGCTTTGCCATATTTAAGTAACCAACCAATCAAATTTATGCATGATTTTTAAACTAACAAAACCAGAAACTCACCAAAAACCACTATAGTTACCCAACTGGGAGGTGTATGAGAATTACAGTGTCAGGTGTTGTATTGCCAACATTCGCTTTCTAAACTTAGATTGTCGTTTACTTTTTCATGGAATTGAAGGAAGGAGTAGAAGTGCAGATATGAAAATCTTGATTGATATAAAATTAGCAATGTGTATGCAGAAAAGGACAACTTCATATAATTTTGAAATTATTTTACAAGAAACATTTTAGCAAATTATAGCAATTTCACATCATTATTTCTGTTATAAGTATAACAGAAATAATGATGTGAAAATAAACAGTAATAATCATTTTTTATATTACTAATAATTAGAATTCAGTTTATGACAAACATTCTAAATTAGAATTTTAAGCACACAGTTGAAATGCGCTACATAGAAAAAGGCATTTTAGGATAAAAATTGAGTTAAGTGTTTATTTTTTGAAATTTATCTTAGATTTATTTACTAAAGATCATGTCCTCATGGCTCTCAAATCCAGAATATCTGTGGATGATATCTACATAACTTTTGAACTTCTGAAATTTGTCTGATTAATTCATTTACTATAGGATTGAATATATCACAATCTGAGGTTTAAAACAATGCTTACTGTAAATTTTATGTTTGCATAAAATATATATTATGCTTCGAAAAAGGGGTTTTGGAGGTATTAGTGAATTTTCAAGTATAGAAAAATCTGATATGGACACCACATTACTTCCTTGTATGACCTATTAAATTATGCACATTTTTTGCCGCACATCATTTAAATTTATTTCCTTGCATTATTCTAACTTAATTAACTGGTTCCTTGAGTCAAACTGAAAATGACTTCAAAAATTGCAAATTTTGAAATTAAATATGCTGGTAAGTTTTTTCTTTTTGTATGTACAGGTGTTAAACTTTTATTATTTTTTGTAACGAGTATAAAATTTCCAAACAGAAGTACAGGAGATTTGCTATTTGTCCAAAATTCCAAAATATATATAGATTTTTTCAAAATTAATATTGCTAAAGCAGATATTTTCATCATTTTAAGCACTTCTGTGATTGGAAGTACATGACTCTGACAAACGATTGTGGAAACAAAGGCCCGATAAGGATTTTAAATTGGGTAAGGGATATATATATATACAGTACAAAGTCCGTAATACAGACTCGTCAGAACTTCAATTCCGGATTATAGATCATCAGCTTAAATCTGGTAAGATGCCATGCAGAAATTACACAATTAAAAATATGAAACCATAATTTATGAAATAAAGAGCAATTATGATCTAAAAAGCATAATATATTTTTGTTTACTTTATTAAACATTTCTTTCAATGTAAGTTGTTTAAGTTGCTTAGTTTTTTGTGCTAATACTTTCTCTTTAATTCTATAAACAGACATAATTTCTTGTTCAGTTACAAAATTCCACTGTTCAAGTCCTGTAATTGCTGTGTCGAGAATACCGACTAACTTGTCAATCGAAATCGTTTCATTTTCAATAACGTTCTCTGTAACTTTCTTCACTATCAGAAGCGCGCATGGGTAAACACTTTATTGGCTTTATGCGCACGCGTAAGTTTGTGGCTTTGAGGTCCGGATTATAGATCATTCCGGATAATGGATGTCCGGATTAGAGACTTTGTGCTTTATAATTTTGTAAACAGTGTAATGTAATATCTCTTATTAATATCTGAACTATCTCTTCCAATTTTGAGTAAACTAATTGTTAATTAATACCTGGTAGTATCTCTAATGATGAGAAAGTGAATGCTAAAATTCTTCTTCAGTAATTCTATCACATGATAATTTTATTTCTGTCAGTTCTATTCATCATACATTCTATATTCTGATGCTTCAAATATTTTGATAACTTACAGGAAGTTTATATTTTAATATTTTCTCAGGCAATCCCAGCTGTTAATCATTTCCTTCAAAATTCATCTATTGCTCAATCCATCCTAAATGATGAAAGTTTGGAAGGAACAATGTTAGTAATTTTTCATCTAAATATTAATAAAAGTTTCTAAAATCTTTTTGGTTTTAGCGAAAGTTTTCCAACAAAAAATGTTTTAATAAGGTTAGGGCATGTAAGCAATACCTTTAGTGTGGGTAGTAATCACCACCAAATCTATGGTTCTCCGCCAATGTTTTGGTGGTCAAAGCCTTCGGGCCAGAAACTTGGTGGCTGCAAGTTAAAAAAAACAGATCAACTCATTTCGGACGTTCTGTGCAGAACGGAAGATAAGATAGCACCAGCAAGATGTAGCTGAAGGTGTGAGAAAAGGTAGAAGTCTGAAGAAGCGATGTTGGGGCGATATGGTGGGTGTGCCAAAAGCTCTCATTTGAGTTTCTGCTGAGTCCAGCTGGTGAATGCAGATGCATGTGGTCTTGCATTATCTTGATGGAGCATTACCTTTTTGTGCCGGAATTCAATTCATTGTTTTTCCTTCCTTGTTCGATGTTTAGTCAACATGAACTAGCATCTCGCTGTACACCTTACTGTTGAGGGTTTTACCCTTGCCCAGATATTCTTTGTGGATAATACCACAACAATCCCACCAGATACAAAGCATGATCTTTTTGTTAGTCAAATTGTGCTTTGTGCCGCCGCCGGGCTCACCAGGCCCAGACCAACCTTCTTTTCGGCCTGTATTGTTAAAGTAAATTCACTTTTAATCACAAATGATGATCCAGTCCAGAATTTTGTCCTTGTGTTGATATTTGTGCAGATTAGTTCAGGCCTGAACACATCTGTACTTATCTGCATCAGTCAGCCTATGCGGCATCCAGTGACTGAACGATTATGTCAAGTTTATGTGATGCATAGCATGAACAATGGACATAGTGCTAACATCTAACTCCTTAGCAAGCTCTCAAGTGATTGCATACTGATCTTCTTTCACAAGTTCTCGCAGGCATCGTCAACATCAGTAGGCCGGCCAGAGCACCTTTCTTCTTGTATGTCATAGTCTTTGTTTTCGAACTTTCAATATCAAACCTTCACAGTGTCATATGATACAATATTAATATTAATGCCTAAAGTTATACACATGATTTGGTGTCATTCTGTAGCTGACTTTTTGCAACAGAACTGGAAGTAAATGATGGTTCTAATCTGATAGCCTGATGGTACCATTTCAAACACCTTGTACTTAATGATAAATAACATCTTGTACTTAATTATAAGTATTACTTTTTTACAATTTTGAAACACATTGTTTTAAAGGAAGTCTCTTTCTTTCAGATGCCAAAAATGTTTTGACAAAATATGATTAAACATGCCGACACAAACTGTTTGCGCAGATGATATTTGTGATAGCGGGAAACTTTCGTTAAAACCCAATATAAAATGAATGTATAAGGCAAAATTTATGACATTTTGAAATTTGTTTCTTTCTGAATTGTATATTTTTATATTTATTTTTAAGTTAAAAAAATTATAACTATTTATTATTTGTTATTTTTCTTTTCAGCCAGATTCTTGGAAGGAGTATTCCGTACATTGGAGGTACTTTTTAAAATTTATGTCAGAAAGTTCTTTACTCTCAAGCAGCACTAGCACCAGGCTATTTGCCACCCACCTGCGAATTAAAATTAAAACTCTTCAAAATCAACTTTTTTTTTTATTTTTATTTTCTATCAATGATAGAAGAGAATTTAAAAATAAAAGCGCTTTTCAAAATCAACTTTTTTTATTTTCATTTTCTATCAATGATAGAAGAAAATTTATAAGAAAGAATAAAGTAACAGAACCACATTTTAAAAAATTAAATTGTATTTTAATCAAAAATGCAGTTGAAATTTATGCATAAAAATTTAAGTAATTAAACAGTAAATTAACTTTTTGACAACTAATTTTTATTCTTCCACATTTTAGATGAATGAAAAATAGATTATTTTTCCTATGTCTAATTTGGCACATACATAATTTCCAGCTGCTATTAATCTCAGTTTTAGAAATCAGTTCTTGTGACATGAAAAATTATATTTCACCGCTTGCCACATGAACGGGAAAAGTCAGTAATATTCTTAATGAAATGGACAAATTACTAAAGATAAATTGCTGGAAGTAAGTTAACAGCAGAATGTGAACAACATTTTGAGTTTTAAATTTATCTTTGTAAATATCTTTAAAAGCACGTCTTTAGATCCAGCCCCCAAAACCGTTACTTTTTTCAAAGCCTTTATCAATTTCTGATAAATTGTATAGGAAATTAAAATCACCACAGTACAGTTTTAGTAGTTAAAAACATTTATTTTAGGATGTTCGTGCAGTATCCAAAAACGCATAGAATACATAATTCTAAATTCATCTTTAGGTATTTATAGTGATTTGGTTTGATATTCATACCAAAACTGATGTGTCTTTTGCCTTCATCAGATTTTAACTGCAGATTTAAATTCAGATGCCCCATTTACATCTTCACTAATTTTTTTTTTTTTTTTTAAACAATTTTAAGGATATTACTGAATTAGAATCTGATTTGTATTCTAATAAAAATGTTTTCCTTCAGTGAATACTAAAGCAAATTTAATAGTCATAGTTTTATCTTGAAGCTGTTTGCTGATAGGATTTATTCTGTTAAGAATATTGTGCCAAATTATCAGAGGGAATAAATTTAGCAATCTTAGCAAATATTCTTTCTGACCTCAAATCTTACTAAGATATTATACATTTCTTTCTTGGAATTAATATCTTGCTATGATATCACATTGTTTTTCTTCCATAAAATGGCACAAGCAATAACTGATGGTACAAAGACCTACAATGAAATTTCTCCAGGCCCGTCTTAAGGAATTAGGCGCTCATGGGCTACTAAAAATAATGCGCTCTTCTTCCTAAGAAAATACACAGAATGGCAAATGGGAGTCGGAAAAGTTATACAAAACAAAAGTGTCAGAACTAGAAAAAAACTATTTATTACTTTTATAATAAACTGTTATCTTTATTGTAACTTTTCTTTAAAGTCACTTATTTAAAAGATGGGTATAAATGTTTACCCAGATTTGAGGGGATTATCTCAATAATGACAGTTCCGATCAGTTTTTAGTCTAATCCTTAGAACTTGATCGGAACTATTATATGATTCTCCATCAGTGCATAACATAAACAAAAATAAAATTTAATTAAATAAAAAACCATTTAAGAACAAAAACACACCTTAATCTAAACAAATGTAACTTATATATTTACTTTCCTAGCTTTTTCTTTGGCAAACTGATCAATAATATCACTAGTATTTAAATTTTCAAATAAATCTCTTTCAATAGACAAATACTTAAATCATTGAGTTTACTCTGTCCCAAAGAAGATCGTAAGTAATTTTTTATTCTTTTGATTGCTGAAAATGATCTTTCGCCACTGCAGTTTGTTGTGGCGATACTTAAAAATATGCGCAGTGCTGTGGTTACGTTTGGAAATGTAGATTCAATTTTTAACTCGATTATTGTCTTTAAACTTAGTTCTGCGATAGATATATTTTCGGTATTTTCCAATAAATTCACATGTTTAAAATGTAGGCATTCTTCAATAAAGTTGTTTTCTAAATCATTCTGATATATTTCGCACAACTTTGCAGCATTATTTCTAATTATGTCTTCATTTATATTTTTTAAATTAACTAGAAACCCAAATGTTGAATAAATGTCAACATATGCACATTTTCTCTTTTGTACTTCTGCTAGAATTTTATCAATAATAGCATAATATGTTTTTATGCGGAATTCGTCATTTGCATCAAGTTGCACTTCTTCCGACGTATTTTCGTCGAACTGTCTTTTTCTTTTCCGTAACCGTTTGTATTCATAACAGCCAGATAATTTTATACCTTCTGATTTGTAAAGGTTAAACGAATCTATATTTCGTTTCGATTGTACAAATTTTTCTAAAGAAGCATATAATGAAACAATGCATTCAATTGTAATATCAACTTTTTGAAGCGATATATTAGTTTTATCGATGGTTTCCAATATTTCACTCCAAAATGCTATCATAATAGCAGTTTCCAATGAGTTGAACTCATTTAACAACCCCTGGGCTTCAACTTTTGTTGCAGGCTTTTGAAAATTATCTTCGTAAAGTTTAGTTAAAGCATTTTTAAAATTTTCATAGCCCGAAACCACTACTTTCACTGAATCAGCTCTTGCTGACCAACGAGTGTCGCTTAATTTTTTGGGAACTTTATTTTTTGCTGTTAGCGTATTTTTTAAAATTTCCCATCTTGATGTTGATGCGGCAAAGAAATTGTATAAGTTTTGTAGAAACAAAAACAATTTAGTTGCTTGTATGCAGCATTCAGCTGCCGATTGTCCAATTAAATTTAAAGAATGTGCCGCACAGGGCACGTAAATGGCAAGATTATTTCTAGATTTAATGCGTGCTTTGAGGCCGTTATATATACCCGACATATTAGAGGCATTATCATAAGATTGTCCTCTACAATCTTCCAAACTAATATCTAAATCAGATAATAGCTTTAAAATACAGTCTTGCATTTCTGAGCTCTTATGGAGAGTATTCTCCAAAAATTTTAAAAACCTTTCAACGGGTGTTCCATTTTTATTGACATATCTTACGACAATGGTTAATTGATCCATATGGGAAATATTGGGCGTCGAATCTACTATAATAGAGTAATATTTTGCCTCTTTTAGTTCCGTGATAATAAAACATCTAACATTTCTGCCCAATATTTTTAGAAACTCATCACAAATATTTGCAGATAAATAAGAAATATTCCCAGTACCTACCTTTATTTGCAAAATTAAATATATGTTGTTGCAAAATAGGGTCAAATTTTGCTAAAAGTTCTAAGCACCCTAAATAATTCCCATTATGTTTATCACCAATAGTTTGATTTTCTCTCCTAAACTCCTTGAACTTAAAAATTTTATGACTTCGATGATACGTTCTAAAATATTTTTCCAGTAATTCGTATTTTTTTCCATTGATATAATAGAATAATTTTTGAAATATTCCCATTTTTCTGTAGATCTGTTCACAATTATGCGGGTGTTTTCTTTATGAAGGGCTGAATTTTCATGGTCCGAAATTTTTTCACTGTGTTTCCAATCGTTAAAACCTGCACTAAATGGATTATTGGCACTACCAAACAGTTTGCAAGGGATGCAATATACTTTTCCTGAAGTATTTGAGTATAAAAGTCAGTTTCTTTTTTGTTGTTTTCCATTTTGTAAACGTCTATAAAATATCATTTTTGTAGCATACCTGCTCTGTGATTTGTAGACCACTTTAGATGCAGAAAAGTCTAGTTCTTGAATATCTGCCTCTACGTTAGATATGTTCTTCATTATATCTATAATTTAATCTTCGCTTAATCTTCCCCATAATGCTGGATCAGTATAATTAACACTCAACATATTACTAAGTTCATCTTCATCTAAATATTCTCTTTCTTGATCTTCTGGCTGTGGCTGTTCCATGTTTTGTTGTTTCTGGTCCTCTTCTTTTTCTTTCACATTTGATTGCTGGGCATTATTGTCATACTGTTGTTGATTTTTTTCTTTTCCCTCTTTGTGTTGCTCATCCTCTGTAATATCCATAGAAAGTGTTTCGCCTTTTTTAAAGAAATTTGTTAATGTAGGCATTTTTTCCAAGAGAGCTTTTTGCCTCGCCTCTTTCTCTTCTTTTAATTTACGGTTGGCGGAACAGATAATTTTTTTTGTTTATGTTTCCATGGTTAGTCTTCCTACATAATGGAATAAAAAATTGTTATAAAATTGTTAAATATGTATATATCATTATTAATTAATTTTTAGCTAATATACACTAGTGGGGGAAAAAAAAAAGCATAATAATAATAAAAAAAAATGGCATTTAGCAAGATAATATTTATTAATTTTAAAAGGTTAAAAAATAAATTGGTTTTTTTTCTCATTTTATATTTAAAAATATATTTACTTTAAGGTATAAAGAAATTAGGTAGTATATTGAACGGTTTATAAAAATCAAAGTGGACAAAAAAAATGCATATTGTTTAATTAATACCTTGTATGCCTGCCCTTTGCTTTATAAAGTGCTTCAGCTCGATCTGGCATACTTTTGACCAACTTTTTGCAGAAATCCGGATCAATCCTGTCCCATTCTTCATGCGTTATCCTTTTTAACTCATCAATGTTTTTTGGCTGTCTTTCCCTTATTCTTGTTTTCAGGTGAGTCCAGAGATGTTCTATTGGATTCATATCTGACATTTGTCATTGGGGTGGTGATTAGGATGGCCAGCTTAGCACAATAATCTTCTTATCTCTGAAATATTCTCTTGAATGCATTGAACGATGCTTTGGATCATTATCTTGTTGGAATTCATATCCATTAAGACCCATTTTTGAAGCTGACAATGCAAGACAAGAGTCGATTATCCTAGTATATTTAAGGGAATCCATATTTCCCTCAATGATCATTAACATTCCAGTGCCATTAGAGCTAAAACAACCCCAAACCATAATATGCCCTCCGCCATGTTTAACAGTAGGCTTTAAATTTTTCAAATTATATCTTTCCCCTACCTTACGACGCACATATCTTCGTCCATCTGATCCAAACAAGTTTATCTTGGTCTCATCTGACCAGATTATGCTATTCCAATGCTCTTGAGTGTAATAAACCCATTTCTTAGCATGCTCATATCTGCTTAAAACATTTTCAGGACTTAAATATGGTTTAGAACAGGCAACTCTGCCAGGCAAACCTATAGAACACAATCCACGACGAATTGTTCTAGATGAAACACATTTTCTTTTTCTGTCATTTAATATATTTTTCAATTTATTTGATCCTAATTTAGGATCTTTTGAGATATTTTGCTTCAAAAAGTTAAATCACCTGATGAGAGTGACAACTTTCGGCCAGATCCCGGTTTTCGAGATGAAGACCCTCTTATAATATATTTTTTAACAATTCTGGAAATTGTTGATTGATTTATGGAGTATTTTTTTGCTAACTCCATTTGGCTCATTCCAGACTTGTGGAAAGCTACAATTTGAGCCTTGTCTTCAATTGATAATTGCTTTGACATGGATGCACTGAATCATAAAATTTTTTTATGTTTTTTGGCGGGAAAAGGCAAATTTTTTCAATATGCATTTTTTTTTTGTCCACTTTGATTTTTATAAACCATTCAATATACTACCTAATTTCTTTATACCTTAAAGTAAATATATTTTTAAATATAAAATGAGAAAAAAAAACCAATTTATTTTTTAACCTTTTAAAATTAATAAATATTATCTTGCTAAATGCCATTTTTTTTGATTATGTGTTTTTTTTTTTGTCCAGTAGTGTATGTAAAAGGAAAAGCACTTACCTTAGGAAGATAATAATATAATTTAATAATTTCCACTTAATTTTCAATTTTTAATTCACCTTATTCAGTCGACAAATACTAAAATTATATCAATTTTACTTTTGTCGTGCAATCTATATTAAGGTACGCATCAGTGACCCCTTTATGTTCCTATCTTTTATCAGGATTGTTAAAATAATACAATTTACGTTTAGATAAATGAATATGCCCTGGCGACGCGGTGAGTATACGTAGGTGGTCTTATATTAACTCCAGTACAGCTCCGACAGTTCAAATGCGACTGAAACAAAAGTACGATCGGTAGGGTGTTACTCCTATTTCGCGTTGCCCTTCTCTATCTATCGTTTTTCAGCACATTTGGAAGAAATAAAAATCAGTTTAATATTTTAAGAAGTGTTTTAATTTAAAAATAAGTAAAAACTAATAAAATGAAAAATAAATTTTTACTATATCGCAAATAAAAAATTGCCGCCTCAAAAGGCTTGCGCCCTGGGGCTATAGCCCATTTAGCCCTGTGGTTAGGGCGGCACTGAATTTCTCATGAGCATATGCATTTGATAACATTGTGTATAATCACATCTTAAAGGCATTACCATTTTTTTCCCTTCATTCTCAGTAAGAACAAAAACACACAGTACTGGCAGCCTTGGCAGTATCTTAAATGATTTCATTTGGGGATCGCCTGCTTATATCACAAGTTTGTTTCATACAGACCAGCAGTTTTAACGATTTTCACAAAAATTTTAACGATGCAGAGCCATGTAACATGAGAGCGGAGGCTCCTCAATTTACATGGCTCTGCATTTACTTTTTCATGGTTTGGCATTATCTTTATTAGATAGTATATGAATATTTTTTTGTGCATATTGTTTTTTTTCCAATAGATTATGAATGTCAAGTCCTTCTCCTTGAAACTTTGTACAGAATTACTGAAAATGGAAATAGAAGGCAATGGGCAAAGGTTTGGTTTCAAGATATGCAAACAAGATCTTTATTTTTGAATATGAATCCTAATAGTTTTGAACTAGTAAGAGCTATTCATATACTCAAAATTAATGTGGTTGAAATAATCTGATGATTTTGAGATTGAAGCCAATGCTATGAAATGTTTGCTCAAATATTTATTTGTGCTCTAAAATATTCACTGCTGTTCATTATAGCAGTACCATTCTTCTCTTCAGCCTCTTATTTTTTTATCTCATTTTTCAAATGTTCTTCATGGGATCTGATTATTTTTTTAGTACTAAAGATTAGCAATACTGCAAGTCTTGTTGAGGTTAGAGTTCTAGCAAGATGAAGTAACCTCACAGACTGCCAGAAAAAGCCATGATTGTGCTTCAGCAAATGTTTCCCAGTCGTGATTTTTAAAGTAGGAAATATTCCCTGGTCAATTTTCAAAGAAAGAACTATTCCCTGGTCCATATTCATCAACACATAACTGCTGAACTGTCCAAAGTTCAAAATGTTCATAACTTTAAAAATGCTGATGAACTCAGCATAACTTCATAAGAAATTATTGTTACAGTATTCCAATTAACATGATTAAAATAGTGGTTCAGGTGGAGAACGTGGAAAATTTGTTAAAAATAAGAAATTGAAAAGAGATTGTCACAATTATAATATTATGAATATTATTATGTATTAAATTATTCTGTAAAATAGATGGATATTGAAGCATTACATTTCATGATTCTAATTTCAGTTTCAATATTAGACTTCTTTTATAATTATTTGAAATCTGCATAGTATCCATTGCAAAGTTTAATAACTTTTTGATCTTGGAAGTTTCTTTTACTCGGGGAAAAAAATGCTGCTAATTAGCAGAATCATTAAAAATTTTGCTGAATTATTTTAATGATTGGTATTAATTGCAGAGATTTCAAAGTATACCTATTATTTATAAAAAAATTACAGTTTTATTTATTTATTAATTTAAAAATTGTATATGTTACCCTCAATATATAAAATGCGGGAATTTTATAGAATGCCTGTCACTTTTAGGCAAAATATGAAATATGAGAATTATTATACAGTACAAAGTCTCTAATCCGGACGTCCATTATCCGGAATGATCTATAATCCGGACCTCAAAGACACAAACTTACGCATGTGCGTGTGCGTAAAGCCAGTAAAGCGTATACCCATGCGCGCTTCTGATAGTGAAGAAAGTAACAGAGAAAGTTATCGAAAATGAAAAGATTTCGATTGACACGTTAGTTGGTATTCTCAACACAGCAATTACAGGACTTGAACAATGGAACTTTGTAACTGAACAAGAAATTATGTCTGTTTATAGAATTAAAGAGAAAGTATTAGCACAAAAAATGAAGCAACATAAACAACTTACATTGAAAGAAATATTTAATAAAGTAAACAAATAAAAAATAAGCTTTTTTTTTTTAAAAAAAAATTTTGATACCCTTTAGATCATAATTGCTCTTTATTTCATAAATTACGGTTTCAGATTTTGAATTGTATAATTTCTGCATGCCATCTTACCAGATTTAAATTGATGATCTATAATCAGGGAAAACGCCTAATCCGGAATCGCCGAAGTCCTAATGACGATTTGAGATTAGGCGTTTTTCCTGATTATATATATTCCCGATTATATATATTGTTTTTCCCGATTATATGTATAATGAACAGCACTGATCCTAACGAGTCCAGATTACGGACTTTGTACTGTATACCTTATCTAGGCACAGCATATAATATCTAGGCATTCCATAGAATCATGAATACTCTTTAGGGAAAGTATGAAAGAAGGTCATGCTAAGGCTACTATTAAAAGATGCCTCAAGACTACAGATATTTTCAAAAAATAAATAAAGACTACCATTGAAAAACTTTTATTCAAAATATGTAAAAAGAAATTAATGAAATGAGCTTGGTACACCACAATAAATTTGTATTCTCTATCAATAAGCTCTACTGGACAATGGGAATTAAATTCAGAAAAAATTATAAGTTTCACAGCAATGCCCCTTTTAATACTTCTGCCCCCCTAGCATGGCTCACAAAAGTGGATGTACAGTTAAATATCATTCTGTGTAATGTTATTTTATTTGGTTGAAATTTCTTTTAACATTTTGTCATGTACTCCATCTCCAATAGCCAAATGAGTTTCACGAAATATCTTAATAACTTGGTGTTTGTGATATAATACTGTACAGCACTGATGCCTTCTTTAGCAGGATAATGAGTTTACTTTTGCTTTCCACAAATATTACATAATAGCGATTCAGCAATTAATAGTCCCATGGTTCCTTCTTTGTAGTCATTTCGTTTTTTTTTGCATAATTTATTAACTTTGTGTAAGTAGTTTTGGTTGTTCAAAACGATTGAGAAATGTATTTCATATTTTGCTCGTTTGTCAGTGGCATGCATAAAACATTTAATTGTTTCATACATTATTGTATAGTTTCTGTCATTCTATAAAATGCCCAAGTATTGGGTCAGTCCATAAATTCGTTTACATTTTTTCGTAAATTTTTAAATAATATAAAAAAACAAAATTTAAAATTTAACATATATTTTCCTCCATTATCTGCAATGTCTCGCCATCTTACAGGCAGCTTTTTTTATGCCATTGCTGTAGAAAGACTCTGGTTTTGATGCAAATAAACTTGAAAGTTCATTGTGTACATCCTGTTTAGAATTTAATTTTTTTCCCAGTAAAAAAAAAATTTGTAAGGCATGAAATAAGTGAAAATCACTTGGGGCAATATCTGGGGAGTAAGCAGGATGTGGCAAAAGCTCCCAATTAAATTCTCTAATTTTTTGCAGCATTGTTCGTGCCGTATGCGGTCTAGCATTATCATGATGAAACAATACTTTCGTGATATTCACCAATTATGGACGTTTTTTGATCAATTCTGAGTTTAGATGGTAAAGTTGTTCACTATAAACTTCTGAACTAATCGTTTGATTTGGTTCTAACAATTCAAAGCGTCCTGAATGGGGTTCATCATCAATGCTACTTTTTCCAACTTAAAATTTTTTAAACCATTTCTGGGCAGTCCTTACACTAATAGTGTGTTTACCATGTACACTATTAATTTTTATCGCTGCATACCTGGCAAATTCACCACATGAAAATAAAAAAAATGTAGCACAGCACATTTGTACTGATTATCTATATTCATCTTCTATGGGTACTAAATTGCGTTCGATATTTACAAAAGTTGGTGATGAACTGAATAATGTATTAGTCAAACGATGACAAGTTTCAACAGGTTCAAAATTGTATTGTTTTAGTAAATGCATCATAGTGAATTCCACGCATACTCTTAATGCGCATGAACTTATGGACTGACCTGATATTTTGTAAATTGCCGAATTTAATATTTTGCCAGTAACATGTACACTGAAGTGCGACTGAATTGGTCATAACAGCTGCCTCATAATGGAGCCTGGATTCATAAAGTCTATAGAAGTGTTCTAAAGATATGGCCTTTCCAGACATTTTCTAGAATTTTCTGTAAATCAATCAAGACACTGGTTCTTCACTTTTATCTTTTTTTCACTTTTATCTGGTGGTGGATGGTGTGCTTTTACATCCCTTTTTAGAATATCCCAAATGTGTTGAATGAGATTTAAGTCAGAATTCTCAATGACCATTTCAGCAAGCAGAATTCAGTAGAATGTACACCGTGGGGGGGGGGAGATCAGACCTTTTTCTGAAATAACATACCAATTTTTTTCCATATTTTGATTCTACGATTCAAATTATGTCAAACTACCAAGTTTTGTAAAAATTGCACAAGTAGTTTTTAAAAAATTAGCTCTCATTAGCTCCTCAATGTTAATTCAGTTTTGTATATATTTATTAATCTCTCTTTTTTTTTTTTATTAAACTTATTTGATTCTTCCTTTCACATTTTGAAATTTAGGTTCATTCCAAATAAAATTCACCCATTTTATATGATTTATTTTTACTTATGATTAATATTATTATTTATTTTTACTCTACAGTCACACTTCAGTTAATTAAATTGCTGTAGATTAACTAAGGTTTCAATTAAATTCATTTTATGATGAATGAAATATAGAATATCTCACATTAACTATAACCCCCCCTCTTTTAGCAATCCAGAAGAGCATTAAATTACATCAACAAAAAGGAAGTTGAATGCAGGTAAAATTATATTTTATTTGAAATAATGCCTTTATAATCATTTGAATTAATGTTTGATACTTAACATGTAACAACATAAAATTACTTCTGAAAATTATATATTAGTGCTATAATTTTATTTCTTTTATGGTAAAATTTTTACGTATATTAATTTGTTATGTAATTAATACAAAATTATTATTTACAAAATCAATGCTCATAATGGGTATTAATTTTAATGAAAGATTTTTCAAAATAAATTAGAATGATTTTCTCTGTTTAGTATAGAATTCTCTGAAAGTTGAAATTAAATTCTCATAGATTGCTGTAAGCCACCAGCAGCAAGAATCCTAGCACTAAGTTTACCATTAACATTTTTTAATCCAACAATCATCCTTTTATTTTCTTCTTTATTTAGAAGTTGAAAGTTTAACATATATCAGCTGTTCTTCCAGTGATGAACAACAATTACAGGAACCTTTTTTTTTTTTTAGTCATTAGTTTAGCATTTCTTGAAGTAGACAAGCCTAAATGATAAGCAAGAGTGGAAAAGCAACTAGGAGACAATCACTTACATGTTTACTTGAAAAGAATTTAAATTTTCTGGAAACTATATATTGATTGGAAATATGCTTTAATACTTCATTTTATTATAAAATTTTTATTTACAATAATTTCTTTTTCTAAAATTAATATATAAGTCATCATTTATAAAATTACCCATTATAATTGGAAATAATTTTAGTATAAAAATGATTACATACTTTGTATTGACATTGCTGTAACAATTCGCAGGATTATGAGATGAATGTAATATTGAAAAATATTCTTTGTTTCAGTTCTTCACTTTTATCTTTTTTTACTTCTGTCTTTTTTTTCAACTTCCTAGCAATGAATTCATCAAATTAAAAATTAATACTGTTCTTTTATCTTGATCTTTTATATTCTTGAAAATATTCTTTTTTCCTTCCAGAACATGCCAATTCTCTAAATATTTTGTTTTGTCTTTTCTAGTGTTTAATGAACTTTCTAGGAGTACTAAGAATTAATAAGTTATTTTTGAACATTTTTAAAATTAAAAGAAAAATCACATTATCACTGATTTGACAGAATTCGAAGTTTTCTTCCAGACTAATATCAGATTGTCTAGAAATACTTTCTTGATTATCTAACATATAAAACTCTTAAAAAAAAAAATCTGGAATATAGTAATTGTGCCACCATGGTTATGGTGGTTAGCAATGCTTGCTGCTATATCTTTGGACCTGGGCTTGAATTTGATAAAAGATAAGGATTTTTTTTTATCTTTATGGCATGGAAATACTTAAAATCCTTTGATCTGATAGATTTCTCAAGAAATGATGGATGTAGGAAACAGATATGAGACTTGACATACCTAGTACCCCTCAGGGTATTTTGTATCAAAATTGGGATGGAACTAGGCAGAAGTCATGCTGTTCCATATAATATACCTAAGATCTTGACAAAAATAGATGCTATCTTCTATCTCTTGGTAAGGTGAATTTTGTAGATAAGCAACAAGAATAAGGCAATGATTGTAAATGATTGGAATAATTTTTTAAAAGTTTGCACACATAAAAAATTGTTTTGCTTGCAAGCTTCAGATGCAGATAAATAATATAAAATTAAAATAGTAATGAAGTAAGTATGAAGGAACCTAGACCTCTTATTAATTTCCATATAAAAATGATAAATGGTTTTTGAGATTAATATGCAATCTTTTTTTTTTTTTTTCAGTAACAAATAAATATATTTTTTTGGTGCTTATTGCAAAAGTGTAATATCAATATAATTTTAATTCCACCCTAAGAATGAAATAGAGGCATATTTAGTTATTAACTAGTAATTACATACATGTAAAATATTTGGAGAAGAAGAAAGAGGAAGAGGACCAAAAGAATATATCTCATAAAAGTGCATTTTTTTAAAAAGTGCAAGATGGACCCTTATATAATTTTTTTTTTATAATTAGCAAGATTGAGGCTTCATTTGGAATCAGTTTCAAATGAAATTAAGTACAAAAATCTATGCCAAACTAACAGTAAATTTTGAAACTTAAATCTCTTCATTTGAAATTTTGCCAAGCTAAGGTTAACTTTTACCAATTTTGATTTTTTTTAAAAAACTTGTTTATTATTATTTACATTAACTTCAGTCTGTACAAGAAATCAAAGTTGCAAATTCTGCATCATTTGTAAATCTGAAACTACTAAGTTTTAACAAATATGTTTAATAATGCTAAGTAGAACACCTGGAATTTCTATTTGATTATTTCAAAGTTTAGTGTAAAGTAATTAATTTCCAATTAATTTTATAAAATTTGGGTTTTAATTTGAATTTAATAGTTAATGGATTAAGTGTGAGTATTTGATTCAATAAAATTTGATTATTCTTGCTAAACATCGTAATGTAATTATAAATTGTTATCCAATTACATTACAAGATTGCTCTTGTTTTTTTGCTTTAAAATAAAATGCTAACATTTCATTATTATTGAACATTTCAGTATTCAGATTAAATACTGCTTAATTAGAATACATATTAATACTAATTATAGTTGAATATATTTATAATAAATTATTACACATATAGTTAATTATATAGCATGCAATTTATATTTTGCTTCTTTTTAGAGTCTTTTCTTTTGTTGCTAAGACTGTTAAATTTGGAGATGTTTGGGTAAGGACCATTTTGTCAGTAGTGTTAAGTAGATACTCAATATAACAGATGTGACATGTGAATTCTATGAATTAAATTCAATGCATAAGTTTAAAATAACAAGGAATAAATATTTTGAATACTTAATTAACTATGTTACTCTCATTCATATAACAATAAAGTTAATTGCATGCTGAATGTTTTAAGACAATTTTCTGGTTAGAAAATTTTGAAATTTCTAGAATAAATCTGTTTTTACTAGTTTCAGGCAGCATATTTCAACGAAAATATCTATTTTGACCGCTATCAAATGCAATTTAACGATGTTTTTGCGTGATATCTGTATGTAAGGACAGAATAAAATACTCTTTTCCTTCAAAAAAATTATAAAACTATTTTAAAATTAATTCTGAAGAGAATTTTTCTTGGTGTCTGTATGAATGTATGTACGTACGTATCTCGCATAACTCAAAAACGAGTAGCCTCAGAACGTTGAAATTTTGTATATAGGACTGCTATAACATTTAGATGTGCACCTCGTATTTTGGTTGCAATCAGCCACTCCAAACGCATATAAATATATTTATATATATATCCACTCTGTTACCCGGCTCAGTGATCTCGGTTTCTTTACTCTTATATGTTTGTAAATTGTACATTTTGTGCTTTAAAAATCATTGTATTATGTTGTTTTTATCTTCCGGTTACAGTTTTTATGACTTTAGTAAATCTGTATGCAATATTTTTAGAATTATCAACAATTTTAAAGTTGTCTAAGTGCCGCTAAGCCTTTTTTTTTTTGTGGCAGCTATTGATGTTTACATTTGAAACAGGAGACTAGTGGATTTGTTGCCAATCTAGAGAAATTAAGCTTCGCAACAACAAAGATAATGCATTCATTTATTATTGCCAATTAAATCATGCTTAATTCTTTCTGGAATTTTTTCGAGGAAATAAGCGTTTAAGATTTACTTCGTAATTTTTAATACAGATATTTTGAGTTTTTATGTATTTTTGCCTTGTCGCGAAGTGAAAACTGAATTAATTGAATGAGAAATACTCATCGTCTGTGAAAAAACTGTTCCTTTTTTGTTTTGTTTGCTTAATTTCTTTTATACATCATTCTAGCTTTATTATAGTATTTAAATAGAACATGTGGCAACGATTAGATAATTCTATTCTTTAAATGATATAAATTTTGTGCATTATGAATTTTGTGCATATTATATAATATGAACGAAATATAATACTGTTAAGTGAATCTAGCACCAGAGTGTCACTAGGGTAAACAAATACTAGAGTGAATTTTAAAGAATGCATTTATTCTATTGTGGTTTATGCGCTGTCGGCGAAGTAGATTTAATTCAATTCCATAAGTTTAAATGAAATGCAAGTACAAATGCTTATAATTTAATATTCCGTACAAGGAAGTTATGTGGTGTACACATCAGATTTTTTTATATGAGAAAGAGAAAGATGCGTGTGCGGAAAGAAATTTGATGAGCTCATTTTGCTCATCGTATTCAATAGTTAAGGGATAGAAATACCAGTGGTTGAAAGAGTGATAAATTATTGAGTTTCCACTGTATTATTCCCTTTTCAAATAATCATGGAAAAAAAAAATCTGATGTGTACACCGTAAGACTTCCTTGTATGGAATATTAAATTATACATATTTTTTCTTGCATTTCATTTAAACTTATTGGATTGAATTAAATCTATTTCGTCTATAGCGCATAAACCACAACATAATAAATGTACTCTTTAAAATTCACGATATTTGTTAATCATAGCAACACTCTGGTGCCAGGTTCACTTAACAGCGTTATGTTTTGTTCATATTATAACTCAGAATGCACAAAATTTATATCTTTTGGATAATACATGTTCTATTCAAATACTTTAATAAAAGATCTAGAATGATGTATAAAAGAAATTAAGCAAACAAAACAAAAAAGAAACTGTTTTTCACAGATGATTCAGTATTTCTCATTCAGTGAATTCAGTTCTCACTTCGCGACAAAGCAAAAAAACATAAAAATGCAAAAATATCTATATTAAAAATTATAAAGTAAATCTTAAACATTTATTTCCTCAAAAAAATTCCAGAAAAGATTAAGCATGATTTCATTCAGAATAATAAATGAAGGCTTTATCTTTGTTGTTGTGAAGCTTAGTCTCTCTAGATTGGCAACAAATCTACTATTCTGCCGTTTCAAATGTAAACAAACATGTCCGCCATGTTATTTAAAAATTAGGCTTAACTGCACTTAAACAGCTTTTAAATTGTTGATAATTCTACAAATATTGCTTGCAGATTTCCTAAAGTCATAAAAACCGTAATCAAAAGTTAAGAACAACATAATTCAATCGTTTCTAAAGCAAAAAATGCACAATTTACAAACATATAAGAGTAAAGAAACTGAGATCACTGAGCCGGGTAACAGAGTGGATATATATATAAATATATTTATATACGTTTGGTATTGCCGATTGCAACCAAAATACAAGGTGCACATCTACATGTTATTGCAGTCCTATATGCAAAATTTCAACGTTCTGAGGCTACTCGTTTTTTAAATATGCGAGATACGAACGTACAGACACCACGAAAAATTCACTTCAGAATTCATTTTAAAGCAGTTTTATAATTTTTTTTTGGTGGAAAAGAGTCTTTCGTTCTGTCCTTATGTACGGATGTCACGCAAAAACATCCTTAAATTGCATTTGATAGCGGTCAAAATGGATATTTTTGTTGAAATATGCTGCCTGAAATTTTTCACGATTACAATACTTCCTTTTTACTTTGCACAAAGAAGTAAAAATAAAATCAAGATTCTCATGAAAGCAAGATTTCAAAAAATGCATGCTAAAATATGGTATATGAAAATACATAGTGCTTTTTAAATCATTTCCCTTCAGTATTGGTGCATAATGAATTGTGCGACACATTGATGTTTTTGCAGGATCTTCCAGGTTTTCCAATATGTGTTCAGATTGTAAAAAATTTATTATTTTGTTTCTTGTAGCATCTTATATACTTTAGATTTAAAAAAAATTTTTCATGAAAATAATTGAAACAGTATTTCTTCAGAAGTATTTTTTTTCATAATATGAATGAAATAGAAACATTCAGTATGATGAGTATATAATTTACAACTTTCAATGTAGATTTTATGTTTGCATTTTATATATATATATATATCAAGTTTTCAAATTTCTTGAAGCATTTTCTGTATCTTTTTAAAATGATAATATTTAGACAGGCTTTAGTTTCTGCTGTAGCTGTTAGAAAACCTAGTAGTGTATCAAACTGTATAATTTAGCATGTTAAAATTTATATAATATGAATTTATTAATTTCATAATAAATCATTTTTTAAATTTATTTTTTTCGTAAAGAGCAAAATGTTGTGTTTTAAATTAGATATTAAACTTGTGATGATTAAATTTATGATTTTTCGTATATGTGCAGTTTTCTATTTAGTAGAATAGGATATATATTATGTAGTGTGTTATTTAATGCTTCACAAATGGATATGTATTTGTAAATCAATGACTTGATGCTCCAAACAAACCTGTAACAACTTAAAAAATTAGATAGACACAAAAGATTGTTTTAATGATAGTTGAACATAGACGTTTGCCTAGGATTGTCAAGATACGGTGAAGTGTTCTGTTTACTAACAGAAAGTTATTTAAATCTTTTTTTATTTCTAGCAAAATATTATTTAACCTGAAATTTATGTGGCATTTGAAT